TTAGTAATAAAGCCAGTTTTTCTGCCTCACACAAGTTTTCCTGGAAATCCTTGTGGCAACTCTTAACAATTACTGAAGTGGAAGCTAAATTTAAACATCTTGTTTTATTTCATTTTAATCAGCCTTATTTAAATGTAATTTTTTTCTGTTCTTAAATGATACCACCTTATTTTTCCAAGTTTAAAAGAGTGAGATTTTAATTTAAGGCTATAATAGTCTGCCCATGATCATAATTAAGAGTTAAGAGGAAGAGCTACCATTCAAAATCTCAGTAATACAAACCTGTGTTAGTACCAAATGGCACACTGGCCTGTGCTGGCCAGAAAGAGACATCTGTCTGTTACCAGAGAAAGCAGGTGTATCCCTCTATGAACACTCTATACAGTATGTCATCAGCATGGGCCATTGGTTGATAGTCACTAGCACTATTTGTGGAAGACAAGTTCACATATGGTATCTTAGAGAGTCCTGGTATTTTCTAGTCAAGAGTGAATCTTTCCTATTCAAGAGGTTTTGTGTTGTTGAATTTTGTATTCCTAGTGTCTATCCTTGTTTTGTCATATAGTATGTGCTTAATAAACATGTCTTCAATTCTTGACAACCCAGAAATGTCAGAGGAGGGATTTTTTTTCTTGTCACTTTGGGAGGAACTTTGAGGTTTTCAAATACTTAACCAAAGCTGAGGAAATATAGTAGAATCAAAGTTGAACTGTGTTACTAGAAGCTCTCTAGATCACATGTTTAGATTATTCTACCCTTCCTTTCATGATTCTCAAGGCTCAAGAGAAAATGCAATGGTTGATTGCCTTGCAGGCTCTCAGAAGACCAAGAACTAAGGTTTCTTTCTCTCTCCCTTGGTTCTCCGTTCCTCTCTATACTCACAGCTCTGCATCCCCAAGCTTTAAGAAACCTAGTCACAGAGGCAATGACTCATTGATGAGGCAAGAGACTGCAGCATGTAGTACAAGTAATATAATTCTCCCTGGTACACAGAACACTACCATCACACATCTGTTTCAATTCATCAGTTCAGGGCTTGGGCACAACTACATTAAACAAATCATCACTACTGCAATATTTACATAATTTTGAGGACAAGTCCTCTACTGAAGGAGGCATATTTCCCTAAGGTTTACAGGCATCTAATTTTTCTAAGCTTTATTCCACACTGTCTTGAGTGCCAAAGAAATTTGTTTCCTTAAAGATAAATGGCTTTGAGCCACAAACATTCCCATTCTTACTACAGATTTTGGATTTTTAATACAACATAGATATGCTGAGAACACCAGAAAATAGACCTAGCAGTGTCTTAAGAGATCATCTACCATTAACTCCTATCCTAGGAAAGTTTCTTTTTTGTGGCGCTGTCATATATGCTACCAATACCCTCCCACTAAACTGTACTCCCAATCTCTAGGCAAGTTTCTAAAACTATTTTCAAAGTTTGTTACTTAGCCATTACTAAGTGCTACCTAGATAGAGATTTTGCATCCTCCCTTGATAGTACTTTTCTAGCGTTTCACCATCTTTGCTGTGTCTAATCAATTTTTTTCTTGCTTCAAAATACATAAATTTTATCATTTTATTCTGGGAAAAAGACCTGGAGCAAGCCGAGGATCCTCATTTGTGATCAGTAATACAGCCTGGATGCAAAGAATAAAATACTGGCAGCTAATTCCCAAGTGTAGCTGAGAGCTGTCTGTGTAGGATGCATCAAAATAGCTTATTGCTAAAATTTTCCCAAATAAGGATGCTCAGCAAGCTAAGAGTGTAGCTTTGGTATGAGATTAATTTACAAATTGAGTCCAAATCCAAGTAAGTCACACAGATTCAAAACATGGATCATTTAACAAATAAGATAATTCCATAGTAGAATATTTACTATTTAAAGGTTCTGATCAGGGTCTTTTAGTTAATTGTCCCATTCAGTTAACTGCTCTGACATGAAGTTTACAAATGCCAAATTCAGCCATTTTGTAAGAAAACTTCAAAAATGAACTATAAATAGTAATATATCTGGCCAAAATACATACTCCAAAAAACTTCTCACAGTTGAATTCCAAACAGTGAACCGATTATCTTCCCATGCCACTTAAATATGAAAATGAAAAGAAAATCATATACATGTTTAAGTGTCTGAAGGGAGGGAAACCTTGGTCCAGATATTTAATCTACATGTAAGTCCTCAGTTTAGAGTCTGAGTTTTGATTTAACTTAAAAACAACTGAGCTATCATTATGTCCATGGTAGATGGATCAAATAAACTTTTTCTAATCTTTACATTAAGTCTCTAGTCTTATTTATTTATTTATTTATTTATTTATTTATTTATTGCACTACTGGGGATCGAAGGATCTTAGGACATTGCACTTGAGAAGCAGGCGCAGCGCCACTGAACTAAATCCTCAGCCCAAGTCTCTAGTCTCATAAACTGTCCCTTCACAAAGTTAAATGACCTAGCTGAGATTATTAATGTGGTAAGAGAATCAGAGTTAGTTTTATGTAGATATAATACCCTATTAATACAAGTTACTACTTCATTTATATCACCAATTTCATTTTGCTTATTCTTTTCAAGTCCTTGTATTACCAAGGCTTTTTATGAAAATAATGTAACATATGCAGTATGATGGTAAAATACAGTGAATACTTAGATGAAAAAAATTATTACAGTAAAACACACATTGCCCTTGAAATAGCCTTGCTTTGAAAACTTATCCCATTGTTCTTGCCACTTTTTGAAGCCATTCTGAAAGTTCTGTTCTGTGAGTGTCTTTAGTTGCACTGTCCTGGCTGCCTCAATGTCCTGAATGGATTCCAGACATTTACTTTCCACAGTCACTTTGATTTTGGGGAAGAGTCAGAAGTTGCAACATGCCAGATCTGGTGAATAAGGTGAATGAGGACACACAGTAATGTTTTCACAAGCCTGCCTTTCTATAGAATGGCACTCAGGAGGAACATTCGATATATTTTTTAACATTCCTTGTAAAGACTTAAGAGGACTTCCAGAACTGCTTCAGAAAGTGGCAAGAATGATGGGATAAGTGTGTTTGAAGCAAAAAGGAATTCTGAGGGGGATTAACGGAAACGTGTCTTTTGCTGTCATAAAATTTTAAAAATTTACATATTAATTATATTTTAATCAACCCATGTAATTTTGTGATTTTATGTTAATGCTGGCTAGGATTTATAATTTTCATCAAGGAGAGTAGGATAACAAAGTAGGAAAAACCTGAAAATACTCACTGGATTTAGGAAAATAAAAGTCAAAGTTAATTTAGTAAGCACCACTTTAATGCAGCAGTGGAAGCAGAAGGCAGAATTAGCATAGGTTGAAAGTCTGACAGGGCAAGTGGGGAAATGAAATAAAATAGATTAGTTTTTAAAAACTTTGGTTCTAGAGAGGAGAGCGAAGACAGTAGTCAGAAGAGAAAGGAGACACAGGATAGGAACGACTCCAAGTTAAGATAAGACTTAAGCCCACAGTTTAGAAGTCTCTAGAATAAGTATATTTTTATTCTATAATATTCATATTTTATACTAATTTTTAAATATTAAGGTTGAACTGGAACTACCATTATCTTACATAAAACTAAACACATTATCTTCTATCCATGTTTCTAAATAGGAGGTGAATGAACAGCATGCTAAAGGAAATGCATAACAAAATGACAACTCTCTTCCCTCAATGTTTAAAGTAAGAAAAACACATATGTGCAACTTTGTCTCTTATCAAAAATACTTTATATACAATGACATAGTGATCTATTAGAAAACAGTATATGAACCATGAAACTGTTCAATAGGAGTATTAAATGTTCTATATTCATAAACACTGTGACCTGAGGCCTACAAGTATAAAATATCTTGGTAGAACAAATAATATATAATTTCTTTGACTTAGAGATCAAAGTTAATATCAAGTACTCATTTACTTATAAACTAGGAATGAGGTAGTAAAATCAAAAAGGCAAAAGTAAAATGTGGGAAATTGAAAAGAAAGGGTCTGATAGTGATGATTCAGTTTCATAATGAAATCACTAGCAGAAGACCAACTTAGTGTATTTCCAGTAAAGTTAACTGATTTTTAAAAACGTCATTCTGATTTGTGCAAAAAGCTCAAGTTAAAAATTTAAGTTCTGAGTAGGCTTTAATCAAGAAACTTTCTAAACGGTAAGACAAAATCCAGTTCAAAGAAGGTAGCAGGCAAGTTGTATATGCCATAGGTAAAAATAATCCTCAAAATAATTCAGAATCTGGCACATTCCTGGTATAAGACCCAAGTCCCGGAAGGAGATGATGGGGCAGCACAGAAAAGTCTGTAGGGTCAGCAAGTTCCTAGCCCAAGACTTAGATCCACTCTCTGGTCATATCCCTCTAATTATGGGTACTTTAAAAACCTCTAGGTCATGAATAAGTAATTTTTGTATTTTCCATCATTCCAAAGAAACAAGTCTATGTGTGTAACAAAAATTATCAAATAACTGAAAAGGTAGTTGGTAAAATGTGATTAAAAAATTTAGCTGAATGTGATGGTGCACACCTATATTATAATCCTAACACCAGGAAGCTGAGGCAGGAGGACAAGTTTGAGCCAGCCTGCACACATAGCGAAACCCTGCCTCAAAAGACACATGAGTGCACGCACACACACACACACTTAATGGTCAAGCTGCAAAGCTGATTGTATGAGTTTTGATGGAAATTACCATCAAACATCCTGCTCTGATATAATAATTTTTCTCAAAAAGAAGTATTTCCAGGACGACATGTGTATCAGACTTAAACTGGGTATGTAAAGAACTTCTTTAAGGAAGCCTAATATTAATAGTTGAAAGCCAAAAGACAATGTTTTAAAGGAAATTTAGTGTCATAGCAATGTCTAAACCTTATCAAGTTGCAAAGTTTTGTTATCACTGAATACAGAGTTCAAGTTAGGTTTTCAGTGTCTTTTCCACCCCAAAAGAACAGAAAGTGTAGAAAGAATAATTACTTACAGCAATAATATCCAGTGTATTATCACAGACCTTTCGGATTTCATTATTTTTATCATGCATCAGATCTATGAGATATGCTGGAGCTTCTGAAAACAAATAGTTAAAGATACAAACTGCATTTGAGATTGTAACTCTTCAATCATATTAGAAAATCCCACATTTTTAAAAATGCTAAATGGAAATTTAAAATAAAATCATTAGTACAAGCTGAGCAGAGAAATTTAGTGTTTGATTTATTAAAATAAGGATAGTGGGGACATAAGAGAAAAGTCTAGATAAACATTGGAAATGGGTAAAGAAAACAAAGCCATCAAATCTCAAAGTAGTATAAAGACATAGCTGAAGAAAACTGAAGAGGGAGCTCTAGAACTGTATATTTAAACACTTGTTCTATCCTGCCTTCCTAAAGTCCAAGGAAGCTTCTTTCACACAAAAAAGAACAATAGAAAAGAATAGCAGTCAAAATCCCATGTTTAGCATAAGGAAAAACAAAACAAAAAGCCCTATAATACATTTTTACGTAAGATGAAACAGCATTTTAAAAGAGAAAAGAAATGAAGAAAGTCATAAAGCAGTGATGGCAAACCTGTAGAGCTTTCAATGATAACAAATAGCCTGCTGCAGCGTGTGTGCCATAAGTTTGCCACCACTGTCATAGAATATATATGAATGAATAACATACATCAGGAAACTCAGATATAAAATAATTCAGGAAAGGACAAAAAACATTGCAGATGTTAAAGGCGGAATATATCACTCCAGAAAAATAGCTTAAGGTCAGTTATTCAGAACAATGTAGATTAAGCAAAATAATTTAGACTATTCATATGGGTAATGAAGGATTTTATGCAATGGAGTTCAAAGTAGATTTTTAAAAATATATACCATAAACCACCACAACTAAAAAGAAATATCAAACCAAACACCACTTCTACTGCTATGTACCCATGTCTTTATGACACTGATCACACTGGATTATAGTCTTACATTTCCTATTTACTTGCCTATCTCTTCAACTAGATTTCAGAGTTCTGAGGAGAAAGACTTGACTATTATATACATCAGTACCTGTTCATTAAATGGTCAAAACCTCATAAATGCGGACAGAATGATTACTTACATATAGAGATAGCAGACACTAAAATCTCAGCTTAAGGGAATCTGTGCATGATACTGTTATTATTCACAATGAATATAGAAGACAGAACTGTTCTGTTTTTTAGAGGATGATACTGACTACAGTGCCCTTTGCATGTAGTAATGATAAACTACCACTTACTGAGTCTTTCTGGGTGTTTAGAACTGTAGCACTTTAAACCCACTAGTATTTTAATAAACCTACAAAGTAGAAGGTCTTATTTAGTATTATAGTCATTTTATAGATTTAAGAATGGTATACAGGTGGTTATGCAGCTTATTTGAGGTCCTTGCAGGTAAGTGGCAAAAGGTAACTTAAAATTAGAGTCATTTTGGGGCCAGGGATTTAGCTCAGTGGCGCTGTACCTGCCTTGCAAGTGCAAGGTCCTAAGTTTGATCCCTGGTACAAAAAAAAAAAAAGAATATTAGTCGTTAGAGTTTGAGGATACAGCTCAGTGGTAGATTACTTGCCTAACATGCAACACCCCCAAAACAAAAAAATTAGGAGTGTTTAATTATAATGCACTTATTGTACATTATGCTACACCTCTTGATGTGGAAGGCATCTAGGGAGCAGTTAGCAACAAATGTCTGAGGCTCAAGAAATTTTGCGGATATTAAATACAGTTCATAGCCGAAGTCATGAACAGAAATGCTTTCCAATGTAGAATCAGTAAGATTAGAAGAGGATCAAAGACAGCCCTCAAAATCTCTGACATTTAAGTTATGTTAACAGAGATGGAAATTTTGATACGTTTAAGTTTCTTAGAACTTAAAATCTGACAAGTTAAATTCGCTTATATGTAATATATGCTTGATGTATATAGTGATAATTTTATACAGTATTTTTAGTGCACCTCTGTTTTCACTGTGACCTGTTAGATGAGGTGGTATTCTCCACTTGTGGCATCATGTTGGCATCTAAAATGTTTTAGCTTTTGGAGAATTTTCGATTTCAGATTTTTGGGTTAGGGAGGCTCAATCTGTACTAATTTAGGGTAAATATCTTCTTTGGAAAAGAGGTACTCTTGTAAATTTATTTCAAAGTGTAGTGTTTTCTATAGATTTGAACATTTCTAAGAAAAACCACCAAAGATGCCTATCTTCTGAATATGTGAAATGTCATTATCTATTGTAAACAGTGAAAGGATACGTGTTTCCTTGATTATGACATCTCTCGTGGCTTGGTGGAAAACCATCTGGTAGAAGACATAAATTATCTGACACACAAATTCATCATCTTCTTGTTGAGCTGAAAGAAAACAAAAACTTTACATGAAAGAATGCTATATGTATATACCCATCAAAAAACACAGAGAATAAAAAACACTAAAAGTAACAAGGAGACAGGATAACTATTTTAAATTATAATACATGAGTGACACATCATTTATGCCTAGCTGTTTCTTCTAAATTACATGGCAATGACCCATGAGGAAATTTCATAATAATATATTTTCAGAAAATTTGACTGGACTTGAGTTAAATTACTTTGAAAAACAAAAAAAATGTAGATTTTGAAAAAGAGAAATTAAATCATCTCTGAGATTATACCAGGCTACTTGAGATAGTCCATCTCAAAAGATCAGGTAATACCTAGAAGAAATGAAGGATGAGAAGTTTAAGAGATCTGTGAGTCCTAAGACTGTGACCTTCACTATCTTTTGTCAATCAATACATGTGAAAACTGACCGAATGAAATTCTATGCTCCTATTGTGAAATGAATGGCAACACTTACTAGCACGTGTTAAAAAGCCACTCTGTTCTCCTGCATGGTGGCCCACCCTCATGCTGTAGGGTGTGCTCCTTTTCCTACTTTTGCTTGGTCCAAACTTGCACTGCAGAGTCTGTTTCTTTTCCTACCTTTAATAAAACTTTGCTATTAAAAAAAGCTCACATCTTCTAAGATTTTGATAGAAATTAACTATTATAAAAAGGCATTTCCTTTTGTTGAATAATGTTCACAAAATTAAACTTTACATATTGTCATGAAATAAGTAGTTTCACTCTATAATGTAAAAAGAAATGCAATATAATTATAAAAACTAATTAGTAAATGCTTAATATACAAAGAATAATTTAGCAGAACAGCTGATATCTACTAACATGTAAGGGTTGAACATAACTACAGAAATTTAATTTTAGGTCTGCGTTATGAAATTTTTTGTTTTTCAGTACTGGGATTGAACTCAAGACTTTGCACTTGTGAGGCAGGCGCGGTGCCACTGAGCCAAATCCCTGGCCCTGAAATTTGATTTACTATATTGTAGTTTGCCTGCAAATTCTAGGCAAAAGTTTGATGACATGTTAAGATATAAATAGCTGTGTGGAATAGATCCTGGGCCCCTTAAAGGTCAATCTGTCCCAAATGATCTCTCCTAGTAACTTCTGACAACCAGTTGGGCTAAAAATCTTACTATTACTCTCTTATATTCAATACTCTCTCACTCATGTAATTCTAATTATTTTTCAGTATTAAAAATCATGTATTTCTAAAAAGCAGTATTATATAGCCTCTGTATGTGGTCATCTCACATCAGAGAACATCAAAACATAGTAAAATATTCTGGCTGTTAGTTCATTTTACACATAGCTCTCTCAATTAAATCACGGTGGGCCAGCAATTCTGAGATTCATGTTATTTTGCTTCAACTTTCTCCAACTGTCCATGAAATCTTCATTCTTCTGTCAACATTTTATTCAACTAGCTACTGTCTCTTTTATTTCTAATACTATACTATAAACAGCAATGAAAATGAAGACACTTCTATATACAATATACTGTAGATGGATTTCATAAATATAATGTGGGACAAATTCTATTTGTCTAGATTCTATTCTACTTGCATAAAGTTCAAACCCAAGCAAAACTAATATATCAGTAATAAAAAGAGAGAAACCACTTTGGAGGAGATAGTAATGACTGGGAGGAGGGAAGATGTACTTCTAGGGTACTGTTAACATTTTATTTCCCTATGTATCTAATGTAACATGGGTGCGCTCACTTTGAAAATTCATTGAAGTCTTTATACATTTTGTAATTTTCTTTATATATGTTATACTTAAAAATGTCTATTAAAATTATATAAAATAAATATATATTATGCCTTTTATAGGAAAGACTGAGACTTAGGAAGAACTGTGTGTATTCTTTAGGTATATCATTAGCATTTAAATTTTTATATTGTTAAATACTTTTAATGTGTAAGATGCTAGGGAATTTGGCCCTCATAAAATATTTGCTTCTGATAAATTTTGTATGCAGTATGGAGTACGGTGAGCCCTGGCCCCTAAGTGTGATACAAATGTATTGGGCAGATGCTAGGCCTGCACTGTCCAATACTGTAGCCATAAGCCACTGCAGCTAATTTAAGTTAAATTAAAAACTCAGGTTTTCAGTCTGACAGTCACATTTCAAGTGTTCAGAAATTACATGTGTTGGTCAGCACAAATACAGAACATTTTGATCATTGCAGGAAGTCCAGTGGAATCAGCTTCCAAATGAACTTTCCTATTAGATTCAAAGTATAAAAAGTAAGGGTTGTGCAAGAGAAGAAATCCAACTTAAGCCGACAGAAAGAAGAAATGATAGAATATCATTTAAGGCTGGCAAGATGAGAGTAGTATCTGTAAACTGGTGCCAATTTGCTTTAAAGCAACATTCTTAACTATGCAACCTAAAGCTCTTTGATATCACTCCATCTAATCCTAGCTAGCAGTATATTTAATTCATTTTTCTTAACTGCATAATTTAAATTGCTGTGATTAATTTAACAGTTAAATACTATTTCATGCTGCAAACTCTTTTATACTTAAAAATTTTAACTAATAATGTATTTAGACATTAACATGAAAAAAAATTACGATCATTACCGTTTAGCAATTCAATAAGGGCAGGGATTATTCCAGATTTAGCTAACAATGCTGCACAAGAGTCATCCATAGATACAGTTCCAATCATTATAACCACTTCTAAAACAAGGTCATCTTCAGCAGCACCTAGAAAAGTGAAATCATAGAAAAATTTCATTGAAATGTTCTGACCCAAATCCATTTATATTATCAAAACTCCAATACACAGCAAAGATATTGAAAGCTATTACATCAGTTCCAATGAATCTTTGACATGCTTGTAAATTTGTCCTTTTCTGAAATTTTCCATTATTTGCAGATGACAGTTGTGGCAGTAGAAAGGTGGAAACACATCTTTGAAAATACAACTGAGGGCGGGGGATTTAGTTCAGTGGTTCCGCCACCTGCCTTGCAAGCGCAAGGTCCTGAGTTCGATCCCCGATACCAAAAAAAAAAAAAAAAACAACTGAATGATAATGTAGACAGAAAATAAAAGACTTATTTAAAAGCTTTGTGTGTGTGAATATATATGGTGGAGGGGGGTATTTTGGTAATTTGTAAAAAACAGGGTTAAAAAGACTAAAACATCAGGAAAGGTATTAGTAGTAAAAAGAGAACATACATCTAAGAATGCACCTAGTGACTACCATTTTGGGAGAGGAGAGCTGCGGGAAGAATTTGCTTTGCCTGGTTTAACAGTAGTCACAAAACTGCTATAGTAGCCTTACCTACAAGAGAAAGGAATAATGCAGTGATTATGCAGAAGTAAGGTGCTTAGCACGGACCTGGTTTCAGTTTATCCTTGAGGTATGGAACCATCTTGTACTCTTTAAGAACCAGTTCCCAGTCCAAGTCTGGAATGGTCAAATTTGCCAGAGTTCCCAAACACTCGATCACAAACTCTTCCTCTTCATCATTAGAGATCTGGGCTGCAAGATCCCCAACATAATCCTGATAAAACACAATTTTAGTACAAAGTTAAAATATTAAGAGACGAACTAACCTAATAATGTGAGTGATACGAAGAAAAATAAATATCAAGGATGATTTTCTTGTTTTATTAATCTTGCACTAAGTTGCTTAGGGAGCCTATGGTAAGCTAGTTTAAGGCAAGAAGACCACAGTGGATATGGAGGGTTAGGGACAGAGATCACAAAATAAAAACAGTATCAAAAGGTAGACTGAGATTTCTAAGAGCTAACTTTACATAGAAATTTCTAACAGGGAGCCAATTTGGGTCATGAATAAATATTTGATGAGAGTTTGGTAAGAGTTATATACCCAGTTATAACACTAATTCATAGTACATTTTAATAGCCAAAAAACAAGCTTACAATAAACAGATTTTTAGTTGGTCCATCATGCTGGGAAATGTTTCTAATCATTTTCATTAGTAATGGATCCTTGAACTTCAGAGCTCGTTTCATGAGCATCTTTAGCCCATTTCCTAGAAGAGAAAAGGAAAATTTCTCCAATAAAACTAAGGTTACTTCAAGTTTCATGGTTTTATGAGTCATTATAAAACATTCATGTCCAGTAAAATGCACAGCCTTAAGTGTACAATTCGATTAACTTGATGCCTATATCTGCACATATCAACATGTAGAATATCTACATTCACTATAGAAAGTGCCCCCAGTCAATCCTACTTCTCAGACACAATCATTTTTTTTTCTTCTTCTTCTTGTTCTCCTACTGTTTCCTCTCTTCAAATACAGGTCAGTTCTGTGTGATCTAGAGCTTCATATTAATAGACTCAAACACTATGTGCTTTGATGTGTCTACATTATGCACCACAAATTTTTTAAAAATACTTTTAACTCTGAAAAACTGGACTTCTAGAAATATATAACTGGAAATGCTTAAAGATGCAGCGAAGGAATAATTAGTGCAACACTGTAACAAAGAAATGGCAAACTAACCTGTGTGATTTTATTTTACTTAGTATTATGGTCTCATGGTACATGCATTTTTCTACAAATAACTCAAATTTATCCTTCTTTATGGCTGAGTGGTATTCCAGCATGTGTGTATGACATTTTCTTTACTCATTCTTCTGTTAGGCATGTATTTTGCTTCCAAGATTTTGCTAGTATGAGTTGTGCTGCTATAAACATGAGTATGCTATAAACATTACTGTAATAGTTCCTATAATATGTCTTTTTTAGGTATTTATTTTTAAGTTTTTATTGGTACATGTTTCCCATATATAATGAATAAATTCATCTTAGGAAGTTGGTACATGTACATACCACATCTTTACTACTTTTTACTATTCTCTTCTCCTCCTCCTCTCTTCTTCCTAGATCTCGTTTCCATCTGCAAAAGGTCTACGTCTGTTTCCTATCATCTAATTTTTATTTTGCTCTTTATTTATCTTTTGGATTTCTCATATAAGAGAAGTCATGTGATATTTAACTTTCTGTGTCTGATTTATTTATTAGCATTATAGTCTCAAGGTGTATAGTAATTATGACTTTAACTCTTTCAGGAAGATACCAGAAGAGGTATAGCTGGGTCAAATGGAATTTCTATTCTTAGCTTTTTGAGGAATCTCCATACTGATTGCTATAGTGGCTGTACTAGTTTCCATTCCCACCAGCACTGCAGAAGGGTTCCTTTTCCCCTACAGCTTCACCAGTATTTACTGGTTTTTGAGTTACTGATGATAGCCATTCTTTATGGAAGATAGAATCTCAGTGTTGCTCTGACTTGCATTTCTCTAACGCCAAAGATGCTGAACTTTTTCTCATATGCTTATTGATCATTTTTGCTGCTGCTTTTGAGAAGCGTCTGTTTGTTTTAACTGCCCATATTTCACTGTTCTTTTATTTTGGGGATCTCAGTTTTTGAGTTCTTCATATAATGCAGATATCAGTCCTTTGTCCAAGGAGCAGCTGGGATTTTTTTCACCTATTCTTCACTCTGTTATTTGTTTCCTTTGCTGTGTAGAGCTTTTTCATTTGATATAATATCATTTGTTGATTGTCAGTTATTTTTTGTGCAACTAGGGTTCTGTTCAGAAAATCCTTGCTCGCACCCTTGTCTTTAAGAGTTTTACCTATTTTATGAGCTAGTAGATTCAGTGCTTCTGTTTTCATATCTAGGTCACTGATCCATTTTGATTTGATTTTAGTACAGGGTAAGTGATACGGGTCAAGATTCATCCTCTGGAAGGGGCTTCCGGGCCACCATCCCTCCCGCCGCTCCTGGCCCAGAGGTAGGGGCTTCTGAGCTGCCGTCCTACTGCTCCTGGTCCAGAGGAAGGGGCTTCCTGGCCACCATCCCTCCTGCTGCCCCCAGCCCAGAGGAAAGGGCTTTTGGGCCACCTTCTGTCCCGCCGCTCCCAGCCCAGAGGAAGGGGCTTCCGGGCCACTATCCCTACCGCCGCTCCTGGCCCCTGTCCCACCTTTCCCAGCTCAGAGGAGGTGATCCTCATGGGCGCCAACAGCAACCCCCCGACCCCCAGTCGAAATGAGAAAACACTTAAATAAGTCTCAAAACCAGACTTCCAGATCACCTACAGCAACCCCAAAGGGAAAT